CATACAAGATGACAATTTATGAGCGTGTTTTTAAATGTATGTATTTAATTCTACTTTAAACAACCTTTTTATAGTATGTTAATGAATTAATGTTGTGTAATCCTCAAACCCCTCATAAAGAAACATTAGGCACTCTATAATTATATATTTTAATGGGTTTAAAGGCCAAAATGTTTCGTTGTATCTACAGAATGTTTAAGAAATGTTGAATTATTTCTTACCTTAGTTTGTTGATGTGATCTTAGCTTAATAATTCCTCCATGAGTTCCTTGTTTTTTTTCGTTTCTTTAGGAGAAACTTTCTTCTTATAATTGGTTGCAAACAGTGAATGGTAGTTTTTAAACGTAAGATGTCGTGGTCTTGAGTAGTCTTCAGCAACCATATTTTATGTTAATAATAATAATAAGAGGAAATAGTTATTTTTTTAGTTATAGTTTTTTTTCAGATTTGAGACTTGCGTTAGAGGTTAAGTCTGATAGAATGTGTCTCCTTCGCAATTTTGTGTTCGGTTTTGTAGATATTTCTTTTATCATTATACACATTACTTATATCGCATTGTATTTTGTATCTTAGTTTTCTTCATCAGTCCTTTATGTGCGACGCTTTTTGTTCTATGGAAGGCACCCTTGTATCTCAGTGGTAAGTCTGAGGACTTATAACGTTATAAATTGGGTTTTGATACTCGAGGTGGGCACAATACTGATAAGTTCATCGTGTAGCTTTAGGCTCAAAAACAACAAATAACATTTTTGGCAGTTTTGTGGTATTCTTTAAGGACTCAAGTAAACTAAATCGGATGCGAGAAGATCAAGCGATTGACAACAACTTTTCTTAAAAAATATGCTGTTAAATCTTTCTCAATACTCATAGTATACCACCAGAGGACAATATACTATGTTTATACTAACAAGTAAAACTCGCAAGCTTCGCTGGTGCTCAAAATTTCTTTTATGGAGTTATTTGATATTTTTTTCTGCTTTGATAGAAACTTTATATTCTGAGTTCAAGCTTATTAATTTGTTGAAGCGTTTAGCTACCCAATGGACTATCTGCGCTGTGCTCCTCGCAGGACACAGAACCTAGAATTTTATCATTATAAGCCCTCATGCTTGTTGTTAAGCTATTGTAGGCTTTTTTTTTCAATAGCGAATTAATTGCGTTCGTAAATATTTCAATCGGAGTTGAACATTTAATCGACAAGTCTTTTTAATAAGAGATTATTGAACAATATTGATAAGGCGAAGTTGTTACAAATTAAACAGAAAAACGGACAAATTTGTAATATGTATTTTAAAATGGAACCCCATTAAATGATATTTTGTCGTGAAATTTTATTATTTTATTATTTTCCCGTAAGATCATTTGCTATTCCAATTATTTCTTTGAGTTTGTGTTCGAAAAATCATATTTATTTAATATTTATATCAAGAGTATTAAATATTATATGCAAAACAACGTTCCAATCATCCATTTTTGTGTTAAGCTATTTAAAAATAAATAGTAACTTTTAGGTCTGCGTAAGAAATGAAAAGTTAAGTACAATTGCTAATATCAAACAGTTTCGTGTGTGAATCTTAGTTAGTAGCAGAATAATGCACTTTCAAAGATCGTTATACTCAGTTTTTTAGTGTGAAAATTTACCATGCTTTCAACTTTTTCCCATCTTGCTAATACGAAAAACCCCAATCGAAACGAGACTGATTATGCACTAGACCTGAAAATCTTTGCTGAAAGCTTATATGTGTTGATTAATTGCTCAGTCTGTGTAAAAATTGCCAAAAGGTGAAACAGAAGGCTAGGAAACGAAGCGGAAAATGAAGTTCTCAACCAAGAGGTCACGTTTGAAGCACTTGATTCGATATATGCACTCGATTCGATAGAGCTCAAGCTTTTGAATAATAAAAATGCGCACGCAGTTCTAAAAGAAGTAAAAAGAAGCAAATAAAAAGAACAACAAAGGGACTATCTAAGAGATAGCCAAGATAAGTACACAACCCTTGTTTTCTAAGTTATGAAAGGGTAAAAATTACAGTTTTAGTTGTTACACTCTTTCCTTATCCCAGGGCCTTCTTAGACACCAAGCATAAAAATTAGCAGCTAAAAAGCCGAATAAAGTAGTTAATACAGTCTTAGTTTTCATTAATCACCTCCTTAAAGAAATAATAGTTTCACTATAGTTTTAGCGAACAGGACCTTAAATTATGTTTATTTTACTTCAGATATGCCACTTTAGTATAACATTGTTTTTTTTTAATCTGGAACATACTATTGGCGAGCTAAAGGATAAAGACTAATTTTTTATATTGAACCTATCCTCAAAGATACTAAGTTGATCGCGATGGTAAGTAATAGGTTTCAGGTCGAATATAATGCTAACTATTTTTAAGCACCCTTTTATTTGTGGTTTTGCCTTATTCAATCTTAAACCTTTTCTTACAAGATTTGTTCGCTCAGCTGGCAACTAAGCTTTTTTTTCGGCAGGTTATGAGAGTAAATTCGAGGTTGCCAGTCCATTGTGATCGGACCCCATACCTGCTTAATAACTCTCACATGTCTTTTTTCTTTCTTTCATGGTCTATCGCAAATGTGCTAGTAAAAGACCAGATGTATGATAATAGCCATCGGCGCTGTTTGCTAAGTACTGTAAATTTAAACTATTATGCTGTCACAAAACTTTCTTTAGAAGCAGATAAATATACTATTGAGAAGCTAAAAGAAATAACAAAGAGAAACCTTTAGATGGTATACTTTGAGCGGTTGGTTGAAATGTTCATTTAATCTTCACATTTGAGTTAATAATTCATTAAATGAAAGGTTACATGTTATCAGTTGGCTAAGCGGATAAAACTGGATCCAACAGGTAAGTATTAAGCTCTGCAAAAAACAGCACATTGAGAAAAGCTGTCTTGCGAAGAATACAGTGAGCTCGTACAGCAGAGGAAATGCACAAATAAAAAGAAATAAGAATACTTTTTATTGCTTACACAATACGTGAGAAACCAAGAAATGTTGGGGGCTTTATGGATTGGCCGATCTTATAACTTGGGTATATAAATTTCTGGTGATTGCTGGAGCTCAGGAAGAACATGTCTTCACAGGATAATGAATTGCAAGTTTGTGTCTATATCTTACTGTTAAGTTGGACAAACGTTTTAGTGTAATATCCTACAATTTCTGATTACCTATATCAGAAATAATTCCATTGCATTCATCCTAGGAGAGATTAGCTCCTAACCCATATTAACTTATGCAAACCTCCATACCACTCCTTACATGGTTAAGTATGCAATAGTTACTATAGTATGCAACCAAAGACCAAAGTGGGGAGTTTTGCATGTTTACGACTATGCACATTATGTTCACAACTGCATAACTCCAACACGAAAAGTTTAGAAAAAATATGCATTAATGTACCTCAGTAAAGATACACTATTTTCTAAGTTATGAAAGGGTAAAAATTACAGTTTTAGTTGTTACACTCTTTCCTTATCCCAGGGCCTTCTTAGACACTAAGCATAAAAATTAGCAGCTAAAAAGCCGAATAAAGTAGTTAATACAGTCTTAGTTTTCATTAATCACCTCGTTAGATGATACACAAGATGCCATAACACTTATTCAAAAACGAAGGGAAACGTTTTAAAATATAAAAAGGCTCCATAAGCTAACAGAAAAAATAACTGAATAAAATAAAGTATACACAAAGATAAAAGTGTACATAAATCAAAACAAAATAAAACATAGCATATAATAAGACAAAATGACAAAGCAAACGAACTCTGAATTATACATTTTGAATAACACAAAATGAAACTGAGAATAATGATAGCAAAATAAAAAGGAGTTACAGTGAAACGTAAAATTAATATTCAGATCAAACTCAAACAGAATAACCTTAGAAGAGTTTTTACACTAAATGGGACTAAACAAAATAGAATAAGCTATGACTTAAGATACTCGTAATAAACTACATCGCTAAAACACGATATAATCACAAAAAATAAATTAACAATACTCAAAATTAGGTAGTCAAACTCAGTTTTGACGCATGAAACCAAATATCGCACAAATTAACCTAAGGTACACAGAACTAAGAATAATATAAATGCAGGTTGGCTACAACGGTGACAGTGGATACTTCAATTGGCGTTTGGCTCTATGGGTCAGATTAACTTGGTCTTCCTCTTTCCAGACTTCTTCGGTGTAAGGGAGCCTAAAATGGCCAAGTGGTTAGGTCGTTCTACTCAATCTGCGGGTTCGAATGCCCGTCCCAACAAACATGCTTCCCCTTTTAGTCGTGGGGGCGTTACAATGTGACTGTCAATCTCACAATTCTTTGGTATAATTGTAGCCCAAGAGCTGGCGGTGGGTGGTGATGACTAACTGCTTTCCGTTTAGTCTTTCACTGCTAAGTTAGGTACGGCTAGCGCAGAATGCCCTCGTGTAGCTTTGCTCGAAATTCAAACCAATCAGCGTAAGGAAATTTTTTTCTTAGGTTGAGGATTTTGTGGTCCTGCTAAAGACTAGCTGTCTTCCCTTTAGTCTATCAGTTTAAAATAAGGGCTGGAATATCCGAAGAAACGAACAAACATACTCTAAATCTTTTGCTTTAGAAGTTATCTTAAAAAGCAAAGAATTTTTATTACAAAGTTATTAGATGATTAGTTCTCACACACATTTATTTTTTAACTTCGAAACCTCTAACCATATGGAATTTTAAGTTACACACAGATCACATTAATTTTGCTTCCTCTAACTTAAAGGTACTGTAGCGTTTCCACTGTCAAAGTGCACAATTCAGTCTGTTGTTATACTAACAATAGTGAAGTACAGCAGTAATCATGACAATATCTTAAGACAGTTTGGATTGTAGGAAGTATAAAATCGTGTTGGGATGTTTACTCAAGTCAGATAATTCTTTGTGAACGATTGAATAGATAGTATCAACAACAGCAATCAGCTGGTTACACTCTATCATTACTATTTTATTCGTTTTATTTCAGAGCAAGCTAGAAGTTTGGCTTTTCTTCTTATCCCACGATCATCCGTTTTCAAGATATCAACTGAGGTACGTTAAAATCTTAATATTAAATGCCACTACAGCGTTTGAAACTGATTTAAACTCGCAACCTGGTTCATTTAATCTGCCTGTATTTGTGTAAATTGTAGGTATCTCTTGTTTGTGTCTTATTTTTGGTGCTCATTCAAAATCAGTCACATTCTTAATTATCATTTGGAAATATTGAGTTCAATAGACTTAGACTTTGCCTATCTCTCATTTTCAATGTTGTTTCTGAATGCTTCAAAATGGGTAACATAACAGATCTTGCTCTGAAACATCAGATTCAACAACTAAGTTTATTACTGACTATTAAATCAACTTAACTGAATTTTAACCTCGTAGTCTTTTCCACTATATAAGATCAGTTGGTTTAAAATTAAAACATCTACAATCTATCAAATAAGATTTTTACATATGTTTATTGTGTAAATTAAAACTGATATTCTTCACTTTCTAACTGCAATTAATTAACTGAATGCCTTTATTGAAACTGTTTCATATGCTGTATGAGACTTATTATATTTTTGTGTTAAATTTTGTAAAACTTTTAAAAACATTTTAATGGAGAATTTGGCATTAATCATTTAGGATCATGAACATATTTTATGTTGAAGGTTAATTTTCTCACTTTCTGTTATAGTTTTTTTTAATAGTTTTTCGATAAACATGAAAGAATAAGTTATCACATCTCTTCTCATTTGGGGATAAAAGTGCTTTGTTGTTAGCAGGTATAGGTACAAGTATACGACATATTTAAGTAATCAGTATAATTTACTCAATGTTTTAGGACTATGAATATGTGAATAAAGATTGACGTCTTAAAACTCCGTATTTGTTTCCTCACTTTATCGTTGACATGTATATATATATATATATATAT